ATCAGAAACTGTACCAGCTAATCATATAATATGTGTCTCTAAATTGAATTTTTTTTCAAATTTGAATTATATATAAAAAAATGTAACTGTAAATCCAATATTATGAAACAGATAGAAATTTGAATGAAGATATATAATTTTAATTTGAAGTAAAATTTTATCCAATTCAATTGTGATTTCATACTTTAATTTCATAGAATTTAAATATATCATTATGAAATTAAAAATGTAATTTACAATATATGCATTAAGTATATAAATTATGAATATATTTCTTTATGTAATAAACAATTAAGGTCATGTGTGAATAAAATGGTAATTGTAACGCCCGGGAATTGGAAGAGGAAAAAAAAAAAAGTCACGTCAGCAGACCCAGTCAGCAGTCCCGGCCAACCAGGACCTGCCACGTGGCAAAACCACGTCGACCGGGGACAGACCACGTTGGCGATCCGCGTATGCGCGATCGGACGGCCCAGATCAAGCGGGCGTACGGACGACCCAGATGAAATCGCACGGGGAGATTTTTGACTGCCGATCGAGGTAAATTTCATACTTCTGACTCGTTTTTCCACGCTGATTTCCCCTGTGGCCAAATCGGAGCCAAAATCCCGGCCAAACGGCCGGAAAACACGACTGAAACCCAGCGGCGCCGCCGCGCCCCTTCTCGGTTTTTGCCTCCTATGAGGCCCTTCCCGTCCTCCATTTGATGCAATTTTTATATCACCGTGATCACCATTCTTTTCTCTACAGGTTGATCAGAGCCGAATCACCAAAACACGAACTTCACCGGAGAGCTGCCGCACCCGAGAGCACCGCCGCCGGTAAGCTTCGGGTTTTTATAATTTTTTGGCCCCCTGAGGGCCCTAGGGTTGTTTTATCGCAAGGATCGATGCAAGTGTGGCCGAATTCGGCCGGAAACGGCCGAAAACGGCCAAACCGAGGCGAATCGCCGGAGCACGGCGGAGCCGCCGTGCCGGAATTGCGATATTGGCCAAAAAGGGGCCCTGGGCCTAATTTGGGATTTCTTGGAACACGTGCAGGTACCAGTAGTGCGTTTCAGTTCCCCGAAAAAAATTCAGGGAAAATTAGGGACAGCCGGTAGGCGCACCGTGAAGCCGTGTTCAGACCCCGAAACGAGTAAGGACCCCTCACCCTATTTCCTATCACGGTATTAAAGTTCAATAAATGATAACACGGTATTTCATGAATCAACGAATGTGTGAAATTGCTTAAGGTCGCTAATGGAGTCCGAGTCTAGTGTGTTTGTCGGTTAACTGTTATTTGGCCTGTTTTACAGTTTTAAATGCAGTATGAGGTTTGATGTTTTCATTTTATAGTTTCGTGTGTATATTTTACTGTTTTACTGATTATGGATTGAATGACTGAGATATTGATGCTGTATGTTGTCTGTTTGGCATAAATTACCGTTTTGCTTGTTTGTATGTGGATTGATAATGCTGACTGAGGGAAAGGAGAATGAAAGATTATGTAAATGGGTGATTGTTTAATGGGATCAGCCTGACTAGATATCCTGGGAGATGGTGGACGGACCGGATCCGTAGGGAACCTTACCGGGATTGTGGTCTCCCATACCGGACGGGGTATGAAGATCTTATGTGTTTTGGCGCCCATACCGGACGGGGTATGGAGACGGCCCGTTTCACCCTCATACCGGACGGGGTAATGAGGTTTATAGTTTTGGCGCCCATACCGGACGGGGTATGGAGACAGCCCTGGAATATGATTTCAAGTGTTAAGGTTTAACGGGTAGCGGGACCCCTATGGATCCCCATGGATACTAGTGGGCTGGTAAATGAGGAAAATATGTTGTGTAACGATTGAATTACGAAAGGATTGATAAGTATTATGTTATACAGTTTATATATGATTTCATGTTGATGATAATGTTATTGCTTTCGTATACTGTTTTATGAATTTCACCGAGGTAGGTGGATGGTGAAGGATTTATTATTGATAAAAGAATTTGTTGTAAATTATGCTCCATTGGTCTTTTTGTGTTTTCTACCCACCTTTACCTCCGTGACGGTGAGATATCATGATGTCTTTACTGGGCTAGTGTAGCTCATTCCTTATTTAATCATTTCAGATCAGGAAGACATTGTTCCCGAGCCGGTTCCGTGGGAGGACGACGAAGGGGACGCCTAAAGACTCCATAGTCATATTCGTAGCTTTTACTTTCAAGTTTCTCCTTTAGGTAGTTTGATCTTTTATATTTTGTGAGCACGTTTTTGGTTTTAGTGTAAGGGATGTTAATCGAATTTTTGACTTCGCTTCCGCATTTGATATTTTTAATACACATTTCATTTTAAATTTCCGGGGCCGTTACAGTAATAAAAGCGTAAAAGCCCAAAAATAGTTAAATAAATAATATTGAAATTTATCAGTTATGCAAAAGTAGTTTAGGATTTAGAATTATATTCCTTACATAATTTAATTGAAATGCCAAATAAAGTTACGGAAATATCTCCTAAGAAAATTAAAGGACAAAAAAGTATAATTTGAAAAACTTATAAAATCAACTTTCGTTGCGCAAATGGAGAAATAGGAAACAACTTTTTGCTAATTTTCTTATTGTTCAAGATCAAGATTTTGGTCGTCCTAATATAAAATGGTTAATAATAAAAGTGTGAACTACACTAACTCAGTAAAAATATCAATATTTTACCATCGGTACGTAAATTCAAATGTTTGTAGAAATCGTAAAACAACCAAAGGAGCTCATTTTTAAATAAACTCGTTTAATTAAAAACACTGATATCTTAACTTACATGTAAGTTCCTAAATGTCATTTATGAAGATAAGAATCAAAATAGTATTCTACACTACGCATTCTAAAAGACCAATAGTCATTAACTTTTATATTTTTATTTACCTACCAGTGCCATTAGGGATCCATAGCGGTCCCCACTACACGCTAACTGAACATTCATTTTAATAATCAACCAACCGTTCTTATACCCCGCCCGATAATGGGCGCTAAATATACAACTACGTTTAATACTTCGTCCGATAGGAGTGTAATCAAAACAATTCCCAACTCCTTCTGGAATGAGACTCCTCAGCCCCGCTTGACTGAGAATAACATCCACGATAGGGTTACTCTAGGTACCAAGTTCGTACACTCTTTTCTTGGGCACTCAGTAAACCCTGTTTATTAGACGTTATTATTCATGCATTGCTCTCCATTGTCTACTACTTAGCCCTAAACAGCCTATACATCACAATCATACGAACGCATATTCTTAAGATAGGTACAAAAATTGAGGATGCATCAAACCTATAGAAACATGTTATACACACAATATAGTGATCGGAGAACATAGATTGAGGAACCTTACCACATTAGCTATATATTTAAAGCAAATAAATTACAGTAAGCAGAATAGTAAATAGATAAGTAAAATAAACAACTGAAGAGATAAATATTACAATTAAACTCGAAGCAGGTATGGATTGACCAGTTATTTGCTCCATTGGCCACCTGTACTTAATTAATTAAATGACCATAGTTTAACTAAAATTTTTATTTATCAGTTTAGCTTCAATTTAGTCGTAACATAAAAAAATGTGAGAGATTCTTACCCTAAATCGGTGTCCGGAATATTGCCTTTTTCACTACGTTTTCTGGCGGTTTCCAGTTCCCGGATTTCTTAGATTTTTTTGTTAAAACCAAAACATACGTCAAATATCATGAGAATACATAAAAAATGGCAAAAAAATGGTCAAAATTCTCACAAGGAGCTGATTTAGGGTTCCGGCACGCCGCCGCTGCCGTGCTCCACAGCTAGTTCTGCCGTGCTCCACAGCCACTTGTTCTGCCATCTACGATGGCTCCTCCCTCGGTCAGGCCAGTTTCGGTAGGTTCTAAGTGAAAACCTGCGCAATTTAGAGTTAGGTGGCTTATATTGGTGAAAAAGAAAGAAAATCGAAACTTACCAGTGATTCAAGTTTTTTTGGTGCAGCGGCTCTTCTACTTCCTCCTCGCAGTTGTAATCTTCCTTTGGTTGCCATGCACTAAAAATATGTTAGATAGCCTATGTTTGAGAAACGGAAGGGATCTGAAAAAGGATCTGGGCTCATCAGAGGAGTTTTGTAGTTTTGGGTATGACGGCTCAGCTGAGCTCTACCCTGCGTTTCTAGCTTCCCCTCGAGTTTTCCTGCATTGATAAGGGTTTTGGGTAGTTTAGAATAAAAAACAGAACGAACGGGAGAAAAATTCACTTAATGGCATCAATTTGGTTTTTCGGTGCGGTGGCGACGGTGGTTGATCTTCTTCTCTGGCAATTGGTTTACTTTTCAGTTGCTCTTCTTCTTTTTCTCCAGTGATCCTTGGCGGCTAGGGTTTTTGGGAGTCTAGGTAGAGAGGTTTAAATACATCTTTATTTTCGATCTAGGCTACTCGTTCGAGCCCACGTGGGCTAATCTCGACCGTTGGATCTCACTTATTTAATAAGTAAATCAAGGTCATTTGATTGAAAGCACGTGGGTCATTCGATCGCATCTACTGGAGAAACTGATTTGGGCCATTTGTGCGTGCGTGAGTGAATCCGGACCGTTGGATCGATTGGCACGTTGATTGCCCTCTTGGCCTCCCGCATGGAATGCCTAGTGGCGTGTCTGCCATGCGACGCACAGTGACTGGTCGTGCCGCTGATGCAGCCGTCCTATATGGCCTATTTTTTATTTTTGCGTTTTGGCC